GGGGATTTGGCCGAGAGACTGACGCGCGCACGCGTGAATGACAACACACGCTTTTCGAGAGAGAGAGAAAAAACCGCGATTGCCGCGAACTACCTGCTCGCACGCAAAACAATAAACTCTTCGCGCTCGCTGCGCGGATTCGCACGCCAATCGTAATAACAATAGAAGGGAATTTAGGTGCACCTACCGCGATGACGGCGTGGATACGGTGGCCAACCGTATCCGAATAACTCGTCGTTACTAAGCCGCTCTGCTGTGCTGCCTCTGATGCTGTTGCCGATGTTGTTGTTGCCGATACTGCTGCTGTTGTTATTGCTGTTGCTGCTGTTGCTGCTGCGGTTGCTGCTGCTACTATTGCTGCTGTGCTGCTGATGCTGCACCTCACCCACGCACGCTCACCAGGAACAGTCAACGGCACAACAAAACGAGAAAACTCGGGACGGATGGAGGTTAGGCGCACGGATTGACTGAGTATCACAGTCGTACTGCCGGTTGCTACCTCCCCTCCCGGTCATTGCCCCTTACGCGCTCTCTCTCTCGCGAACCGAGCGCGGCTACTTTCGTTTAGCCGCTCGTTAACCTCGCGCGAGTCCTACGATTTTCGGCAATCGTTGCATTTGTTAAAATTTTAAATATTTTTAATAAATGTTTTAATTGATAATATTGTTTCTGTTTCACCCCCATCTTCATTAAAAAGCTATGATGGTTCTGAAATACCTTTCAAAAGCTGTGGCGGTTCTGGAACACAAAAATTGCGCTTTATGACGTAATAAGTGTTCCAGAACCGCCACAGCTTACCTACTTACGTCGGTACTAAAGATTGGTATAAACTCACTTACGGCCCTTCTCAGGATAGCTATTTAGTTTATTTTTCAGGTGCATATCGATTACGAATATCCAACAGTTGTTTCATGGATAGTTGGTATATTTTCTACTTGTTTCATTATTACTATTTTTTATTTATTTATTTCTTTTTATACAGATAGGTATTCGTATTACTAACAGTGAATATGGCTGATTTGTCACAAAATCTTCATTTTAAGAAATATTGCATCCTACTGGGTAGAGATGGTCATGTGAGGAAAAAATTGCGGAATATTTCACAAAGTATTTTAGAGTCCTATCCCAATTCGCATTTAATTTTAAAAATTTGTAACACTTGCAGGAAAAGTATTTATAACTCTACAAAAGATCTTTCTTTGTAAAATAACAGTTGAGATGACGGAATTCAATGAATCCTTCAATGAACCTTCAAGTAAAACAACACCCGAATCTAGCATTAAAAATGGTAGTATAGAGAACATGGAATTGGATGACTGCTTTGAATAACTTACATGCAAATCTAGAGAAGAACAATTACAAGAGCTCTTGAACGGTCTAAAAGAGAAATTCCTAAGTTAATCTCAGAACGATCTAATAAGTAAGTCTATTCTCACTATAGCTCCTGATTATTGGATCATTCGTATAATCATGAAAGAATTTAAATGTACTTATAGACTGGCAGAAAACTGTAATGATTTAAAAAATTCTGATGGAGTATTAGTAGTACTACATTTCAAAAGGGAAAAAAATATATTTAAAGATACTGTTTCGATAGTTATCGAATTTTACGAAAATTACACAAACAGTCGCATTATGCCGTATATGAAAGTTTTCTAGGTAAAAATAGATGGTGTGATAGTTTTGAAAAAAATATATTTACTGCTGTATGATGTTAAAATTTTACAATCCATGTTCAAAGAGAAATATTCATAACATCTTATTAGATTTTTTCAATTCATAGAGGTGCATTCTAAATGGTGTGTTCTAACTGGATCGTCAGGAACACACAGTGTTTATGTATGCATGACTCACCAGAATCTTAAACCAATGTTCGATACTATAAATCTTGAATATTTGAGTAGAAATTCCAAATTTTAATTATGTCAGTACAAAGATTGTTTTAAATTCATTCAGAGTTAAAAACCTACAACTGATGGTTATTTGATACAGTATAACAAATGTCCTAATACTAAGAAGCTTTCCAACTACCTATTGGAATTATTAAAAAAAACTAACATGTAATAAGTTATATTTAGTACATGGTAATGTACTAATCCTTGTACCCTCAAGCAGTTCATTTAATGCAGCAGAAAGTGATACCGGAAATTAAGAAGTTGTATCCAAAAGTAACAAAAATTTATTACATATCTGATGGTATCAAGCAACATTTTACGAATAGAACTCAAATAATGCACCTTTTCCATCACAAGACTGAATTTCAAATTGACGCGGAATGACAGTGCTCTGCAACGTCACATGATAAATGCATCTGTGATGGACTAGGCGCTAATCTGAAAAGTGAGGTAATCCCATGTAGCTTACAAAGAGAACCAAAAAATGCTATATTACCTTCTATAGATCTCTTCAAGTGGGCTAAGGAAAAATTCACGAACATACAATTTCTCTACTATACAAAAAAAGAATATTAGAGGTTAACTAGTAGATTGAAAAGGAAATTACTCGTTCCACTTGCTATAATGAAGATTCAAAGTAGCCATGTATTTATATTAACTACTGACAATAAAATGATAGTAAAACTATACACAGCTGCAGAAGACAATGTGGCTATAATGCAATATTAGAATTAATAACAGTTATATATGAATTTGATAATATTTTGCACGATATTGGATGCACCATCTTGAACTTTACAGATCTGACTTCATATTTGTTATTACACCAAAAACCTTCGCCTAAAAAACATACCGAATTGGTAAAAAACGTTTAATTTTCGAAAAAATTTTCTGTCATTTTGAAACCGCTATCTTTAAAATCACAGATCTAATTTAAGATTCGACATAAACGACCCAATACCCCTCTTTACGAAATTTAGTGAGAATAGGTTGAATTTCTAGAATAGTACATTATGATACAAGTGCGGAAAAATAGAGTCTGGTCTCGTGTGGCGTTTAGTCCCGAGCGAAGCGAGGGTGGAAAGGTACACGAGACGAGAAACTCTTTTGATATTTTTTGATACGACGTGTGGAAAGTGCGATTTTCAACGCACGTTTTTTGCCGAGCGTATGGGACAAACGCACTTTACGCACGGAGTGTCGAAAAATTTCAAAAATTAATCAAAAATATTAATCTGAAAACCAATTGTTTTGAGGTTAGGTAAAAACTGGGATATAACAGTTAATATTGTAACGGGGTAATACCGTTTAATTATATTTTTATTCGCGCGACTTTGTTGAAAGGGCGAACATAATAATCTATGCTCAAAATGTAGTCCGGAGAGCATGCGCAGACAGGCGTCAGCCAACCAGTAATTCTAATTAACCTATAATAAAATGAGTGGAAGCTATAAGGAGTAAGTGAGTCGAAAAACACTTGTTAGTAACACGAACTGAACCTTTTATTATTACTCAAATACTACATAAGGTCGGCCCGCGCGTTTGTTTACATCGACGCTCGCTCATCGACAACACGTATTGTCGGGAGGCTCGCTGCTCTTTGTTATTAGAGCCGCTACATGCACGCTTCGAATGTCGGAAATTAATTATTAAACATGCAACCGCGATCGCGAGATTAAGCTGGCCAGCTTACCTTGTTATTGCAGGCGTACGGAGCGGACGAAAAGTAGTCGCACTGCGCGGAACTGTCTTGTTTATTTTTGCCGGTCGCGAATTCGCGCACACACGGTTACGCCCTCGATGGCGAAACCTCACACACTCTCCTTCGGCGGCTCGTGTCCCTTCCCTCTGCAGGCGTGTGGCACCACGTCAACGGCGGTTACTGTCCTGGCACTGGGCTGAATGTTCCTCCCTTATTATATTGGGGTTAACGGCACGTGGATCAGCGATAGCAACAACAAAAGCGGGCGGACGCAATGATGGTCAGTGCTTCACTGGTTCGAATTCAATCGCGCGCGTTCCGTCTGCTCGTGTGCCGAATTCCTTTGTCACGTTTTTCGTCTCCCCGGTAGGTGCTGCCCTCCCAGGCAGCAATTAAGTTAGGTTATCAGCGCTAATTTGACGTTTACCGTCACAATGTCTAATACAGGATTCACATTTAGGAGGTTTAATTACATCGGAAGCCATGTATAAAATTGCAAATATGGTCCGTAGTTTTTTTAAAGTATTTTTTAATTTTTTCTTCAAAACTTCGGAGTTTTCAGATGCCATACTGGAGCCGCTATATTGAATTTTGTGATAATGTAAATAAACCATGCTTCAAAATGAGCCTTCACACAATTTTTTTGATTACTTCAAAATTTCAAATTTTGGGCACAATAATGATCTGGTTCATATGGATCATTTTATATATTTATCATACGAATTGAAGCAAATAAGATAAATCAGTTTTTTAATGGAAGAAAAATAGAAATATTATAGTAATAAATGTTGTATGTTTTCTGCCAGCTCACAGACGACTCTCGATTCCGACTCTGTATTTATGTTCAAGATCATTATTAACCCTTCCATCCATTTTTTTTATGCATTAGAAATTTACATAAAGAATGTAATATAAATAATATTATTTATTTTTTAAGTTAGTTATTTAAATGTTGTCCTTTGTTATTCTACTTTATTGGTAGTGAAAAATAGTCTTATATTCCTGAAGTGGCAAATTTTTTTTTCATGAAGAATAAGTTTAGCAATTAAAAGTAATTCTAAAAATAAATTAGACATAAAAATTATCCTGGTATTCAAACACTTTTTTCAAAATAATATATGGTCAAAATTACAACTTAAGATTACTTCAAAGGTTAATAGTAACGTTTTAATATTGAATCTTGTGAAGGGTATCAATCATTTATCAAGATTTATTCAATATTGAAATGAAAATATTTCTAGAAAATATGAGATTTTAGGTTTTGGAAAAATTTTGAAGAAAGACAGTTTAAATTAATTTATAAATTAGCCCTACTTTAATGTGGATCAATATTTTTCATAAATACATTGTGTATATGTACCCTCTCTACCTTCAACATCTGTTCATGGATCAATATATCAAACTCTTCTAGTATAAGAAGGAAAGTACAACAAACGCAATTTAAACATTCGGAGAGCTGTGAAAATTGTAATCTAGATTCAAATTTATATATAAGATATTTTTTGTTAATTTTCAACCGAAAATTTTTATTATTTATCAAATTACAAATGTGACATACGTTAAAATCAATTGAAGGTTATATTATAAGCATTTTCGTATCAATTATACTGTATAAAATAATTGAGTTTTAAAATTGTAAAGAAACCTCTTGTTTATAGTAAGCTTAGGAAATTCGTATTAATATGGGAACTAAATTTGCATCATGTAAGTCAAATACGAAAATACTAATATTTACAAAATTCTTCGACGTTATATTTTTTTTCAAAGAAATCAAAAAACTAATAGAACTGGCACTTTAAAAGGCATTTATATTTCTTCCCCACATACCTTTTAATAAAGATAAAATCTCACTGATGTTGATAATCATATGCATATTGTATTTACTAATAAATAATTGTGGGCTAATTCTGCAGTAACCAAGAACATAATGTATAATAAAATTTTAAACGTAAACTATCATCATTAAACCAAAAATTTTCAATTGTGATACGAAAGTAAAATATAAAAACGAATAAATTTGACAATATTTCGAATTTGACCTTTCTATAGACTTATATAACCATTAATAATATTTTGGTTTAATAAGGATAGATTTTTAAACCAATTTACTTGCATAAGGAAAAAAATTAATCGCATATTTTCTTAATTCACTCTAGTATTAAAATATGGCCATTTGTTGAGCAACATATAATGTATGAAATTAGTAATGTCTATTCGTGTGTCGGATTTTATTGTACTTGAAAGACTTTATGAAATATATTTCTTATCTAATGATAATAGTAACAGTAAAATTTTGTAATGATGGAATTTTGAAATTGTATCTAGACATTATGTTTACAAACGCAGACAAAGGTAATGTCACAGTAGTCATGTCAAAAAAATAATATTTAGAAAAAATGAATTCTTTATTAGAAGACAATATCACTTATATCAAAGTTAAATTAAACCCTTTGAAAAAATTACAAGGAGACGTAAAAACAATTTTAGAAGATTGGAATGGCAATGGTTTTCTGAAAAAATATTGGCATAATAATGATTTGACTCAAACGGACACAACTATAGCAAAATGCTATGGATTACCAAAAATTCATAAAGAAAACGTGCCACTACGTCCAATAATTTCATCAATTAATAGCCCTACTCACAAATTAGCAAAATTATTATATAATACACTTAAAACAATTATAACGAAACCTTACTCTCATATTTTAAACAGTAGACAGTTAAAACAGAAATTGAAAGATATTTTTATTCCAAACGATCATGTTTTAATATCATTGGATGTAAGTTCCTTATTCACAAACATATCGTGTGATTTAGTCTTAGAAGGATTGGACAAACGTTATGAATAAATTAAAAATTGCGAGTTTCCAATAGAAGAGATTCGGAAAGGTATACAATTTTTATATAATAACACATATTTTGTGTTCAACAAAATTTATTATAAACAAATATTTGGAAGCCCGATGGGCTCACCTATCTCTCCTTTACTAGTCCGGGAAAGTAAGGAAATAAAATTCAAAAGTTTCCCATAATTGATTTTTCATTTTTAAATGAAAATATATTGACCCAGCATCACTCTCCTAGATTATCTAATAATTTCAGCTGGAGCTTGCGACGCAGCTTGCAAGCACAGCTCAGACCACCTAAAATTCAAGAGATTTATGCTCGTGTCATTTCTGGATATGTTCTTACAAAAAAATCGTAGAGATAAAAATTGAAGCAAATCTTATGCTCTTGAAGGTGACCTAAATAGTTTTTTCAAACAAAAATTTTCCGATCTTAAATTTTCCAAAAATTGAAAACATTTTCGAAAATTATATTTTTGGCTGGTAATTATAAATAAAATATTAATATCGAAATCAAAACATAGATAAATATAGAGGGCAAACTTCTAAAAATTTACATTTTTTCAGATTTGGAAAATTCAAAATGGCGGCTGCGCAAATTGGAAACAAATATTTTTTTTCAATCGCGTCAAAATTTATGAACATTAACGATATTGAGAAACGGTTTGTTGCAATCGGCAGAATGAAAGTTATGTTTTTATAAATAACATAAATAAAATTTAAAAAATTTTTTTTACATAATTTTTTAAAACATTTACCGAAAATAAAAATTTTTCCATCTAGTTTTTTCTCATTTTGGCGTTAAAAAATTTGTTTAAAATATCTTTTCACGATATAAATTTGTTTGTCTTCGAAAGACGAGTATTTTGAAAAAATAATTTTTTAGATGCGACTTTTACAAGCTGAGATAAACAAATTGAAAGTCTGTTAGATTCTGTGATAATATCGATTGAAATTTTCAAATTTTGATCACTTTGCTAGATTTTCGAATCCCAACTCAACTTAAACATAAATTTTCATTTTTCTACCGTCAATTGGTCCATTCAAAAGAGAATAGTAATCCTAGCTCGCTCGGCCAAACGGTGCGGCGGCAGCTACTTGGCGTTGTGGTGGGGGGTTAGCGCTCGTTCGTAGTTGAACGAAGCTCAAGCTATTATTCTGGTTTTCTTTGTAAAAATTTTGCATTTGTGGTTTGCATGGACGGTAGTGTATAATGGTTGATAATAATCATACTATTCAGTATGGTTATTATCAACCATTATACACTACCGTTATACACTATTAAGTATGGTTATTATCAACCATTATACACTACCGTCCATAAAGATTTGCCATCCCCTTGCTGAAATCATCAAAACTTTAGAGTTTTATGGCTCAGTTTCTATAAGAGCTAGAAAATCCTGCGGGGTCTCATTTGAAACGTCTTGCCAAGACCTTTCAAATGTTCTAAAACATAATTGATTTCATTTGTTTTTTGTACAATTTGTGACGTCATAAACAAATTGTTTTTTTTAATTTTTTCACATCAACTTCGACCCCGATTTATTTATATAACGGAATCTACGATGGAAAAACTGTACAAGCCATTCGATAGAACTTTCAAAAAGCTACAAAATTCATATCCGGAAAATTTTTTTACCTTTATTTTTTATGAGCTATATGGTGTTTTATACAAAAACAAAGATTTTCAAAAAATGGGCTGTATTTTTTTTATTTATTCAACTCTAAAGAAAAAACTTTCAGAAGAAAAAATGTAGTATTTGCAAGAGCTATCAAATGCGCCACTCAGAATTAAAAAAAAAATTTTTTTTTTCACGTTTTTTAGAATTGAAATTTTTCTAGAAAAAAACTGAAATTACATATATTTAATAAAATTAGTAAGTAACTAGTATTTATAACTGAATGGGCTTACAAACAATGATAACAAGATACATTTATTGAACCATAATTTATTACTTACTCAGAATAGATTAACATAATTTGGTTACAATTTTTCTACAAAATTTATTTATTACAACGTTTCAATAATAACATAATAATAATAATTTCATTTTTTATAATACTAATAACGCTTGTAATTAATATATTATCACAATCTGAATATCAATTTCAGTTGTAACAAAAACGAAACAATACTAATTATTTAAACGTTTTTTTCATCGGAATGTCCACCTTTGTTTGCTATAACTACTTTACAAATTCGAGGCATTTGTGCTACAAGTTTCTCTAAAGTTTCTGCAATTATTTTTTTCCACTCATTTTCTAAGATATTCCAAAGATCCTTCTGGGAAGTAGGTCCTACCTTCCTTACAGCTCTATCTAGATCATCCCACAACAGTTCTATAGGGTTAAGATCAGGAGAGTACGGTGGCCATTCCATCACAACTAATTTTTTTTTCTTCTCCAATTGAGCAAGATAACTTTTACATAACTTTGAAGTATGCTTTGGGTCGTTATTTTGTTGGAACGTAAATTTGCGACCAATTATTCTTGTTCCGGAAGATACAACATTTTTTTGAAGAATTTTTTTGTAACCTTCTTTTTTCAACTTGCCATCAATTTTAAGAAGGTCACCAACCTTAGAACCACCAAAATAACCCCATACCATTTCTGAGCCGCCACCATGTTTAACCGAAGCACACATATTTTTCTCTAAATGTTTTTGCTTATTTTTTCTCCGCACAAAACATCTGCGTTTACTACCAAAAACCTCGAATTTGCTCTCATCAGACCACAAAACTTTTTTCCAATCATCAAAGGTCCAAATTTTATGTTTTCTGGCCCAAGCCAATCGTTTCTTTTTATTAATCGGTTTTTTAAAAGGCTTTTTTAATTGCTATTCGACCGTATAGTCCATCTTCATGAAGTCGTCTCTTTATCGTAGTAACACTAAGTTTAACATCATACGCTTTTTGAGTTTCAACAGCAAGTTCGGGTGCCGTGAGTCTTGGATTATGTGTACTTGTACTACAAATGTGTTTATCAGTAGCGCTCGTAGTTTTCCTAGGCCTTCCTGAAATTTTTTTGTTTTTGATATTTCCTTGAGTTATGAATTTTTTAATGTTATAATCAACTGTTTTTCTTGGAATATTCAAAATTTTGGAAATTTCATTATTACTTTTATTCACTTTATGCAAGGCTACTATCTCAGATCGCTCTTCAATTCTTAAGTTTCTTTTTTTCGTCATTTTTAATGAACAAAAAATACATGCATAATTTACTGACTAGATTGGACACATTGATATTTCACTCATTAAAGCTGATAAGAGACTGAATATCCATACGTATTCTCTGCTATATGTATACATTCATGAAAGTCAAGTAAATCAAACCACGTAAACACTCAGTGATTATCACAGTGATTATCGGTGAGCACAATACTGTAGAAAGTCATTAAAAATGAAATCAATGCAAATTCCTCTGTTACAAACGTCGAATACAATAAATGTATCTTGTTATCATTGTTTGTGAGCCCATTCAGTTATAAATACTAGTTACTTACTAATTTTATTAAATATATGTAATTTCAGTTTTTTTTTTAGAAAAATTTCAATTCTAAAAAACGTGAAAAAAAAATTTTTTTTTTTTAATTCTGAGAGGCGTATTTGATAGCTCTTGCAAATACTACATTTTTTCTTCTAAAAGTTTTTTCTTTAGAGTTGAAAATAAAAAAAATACAGCCCATTTTTTGAAAATTTTTGTTTTTGTATAAAACACCATATAGCTCATAAAAAATAAAGGTAAAAAAATTTTCCGGATATGGATTTTGTAGCTTTTTGAAAGTTCTATCGAATGGCTTATACAGTTTTTCCATCGTAGATTCCGTTATATAAATAAATCGGGGTCGATGTTGAT